GGCAGTCAGGCCATGGAAGGCGTGAGCGGCAATGGAGGTGAGGCAAGCTCCGGACAGTCGCAGTTCCTGGAGCCGCACCAGGGGACTGAGACTTCGGGCTGGGATGGCTGAGATGGGGTTCTGAGAGAGATCCAGGACCCTGAGGAAGCTCAGGTGGTGCAGTGCTTGGAAGGGCACCGAGCTGAGATTGCAGCGGGTGATGGCCAGGCTGCTGAGATTGAGCCCAACTAGGCTCCCAGGCTCCAGAGCCTCCAGAGATGGCCAGTGATGGATCTCCAACTCCTTTAGCTGCCCCAGCCCCCGCAGAGCTCCCGCCGGCAGCCTTCCAATGTCCAGTTCTCGAAGCCTTAAGGCCACAAGCCCCGGAAGACGAGCCAGGGCGAGGCTGGGCACCATGCTGAGGTTGCAGCGTTCCAGGGTGAGGGTGCTCAGCTTGGTCAGCCCAGCAAAGGCCCCTGGAGCCACAAACACCAGGTGGTTGTCCCCAACCTCTAGCTGCTGGAGGCTGCCCAACTCTCCAAAAGCTCCATCAAGGAAGAGAACAATCTGGTTGAGGCGGAGATCCAGCAGTGTGAGGGCAGACAGGCCTGAGAAGACCCCAGGTCCCATGATTCGCAGCCGATTGCCTTGCAGCCTCAGGGTGAGCAGGCTTTGTAGGCCATTGAAGGCCCCGGGCTCCAGGGTGGAGAGTTGGTTGTAGCTGAGGTCCAGTTCCTGGAGCAGGCCCAGACGGGAGAGCATCCCCCGCTGCAGCCCCCACAAGCGGTTCCCACTCAGGTCCAGGAGCTCAGTGTCCAGAGGGAGTCCCCCAGGTACCACCTCCAGTCGCCGGTGGGCACAAAGCACGGCCCGGGGCTGGGAGGTGCAGTCGCACACAGCAGGGCAGCCACCGCTGCTCCCACCCGGCAGGAGGAACAGCAGTAGGAGAGAGCTCCAGGGGGGCCAGACTAGCCTTGGAGCTGTGGCTGCAGCCATTCCCTCTTCAGTCCTGGAACAGATGGTGACATGGCCCTTTTTGGAAAGTGACTTTAGATGCTAGTGACCCTGGACTTCCCTGGGCCTGCTTTGAGGAGAGAGACTTGGCCGTCCATCTAGCAATTAGAGGGCACACCATGAGCAATTCTGGTGCACTGCCTCCCCCAGGTCTCCTCTTGGGGGAATCTCTGCTTTCCTCACCCTCCCAGCCCTTGGGTAACAGGCCAAGACCGCACTAGCTCACGGAACCCTAGTCAGGCCAGATTCGTGTGGGAGAGTTTTATGGGAATGGGCAGGAGGGAAGTAACTTCAGGTCTCCTTGTTGTTGATTCCCCCCACATCTATGAGATCCAGGAACACCCCAGGTTCTTTCTCCCTGCCATCTGCCCTCCCCAAGCTCTGTGCTGTCCCTCTCTGGCCACCTTTGCTCTTAGTGGATTAATATAAATCTCAGGGGGTCACATCCTTGGATCCCGAGTGGAGAGAGGCCTTACCCTGACTGAGTCATCCAAGGCTTGGAAACAGGGACACCTCAGCTCTCCCCCAGTTCCCCTTCCTGTCACTCTGCCCTCCTCAGCCTGGCTCAGCACCTGAGGCCCAATCTAGCACCACCCAGTCCCCCCAGAATGCCTGTGTGGATGCCAGCCAAGCTGCACACTAGCCATGGCACAGGAGGCAGGGGGCACTCAAATTCCTCACAAGAGCCTCAAGGGCTTCCCCTCCTTCCCTACAGACACCATTGGCTTGTATGAGGGACATCATGGCAGCCAAAGCTTGAGTTTTGTTGCCTGGTCCTCAGTCTTAGGCTGCTCATGTCCTTCCTTAATGGTGTTTTGATTCAAGTCCAGTGTGTGAGTCTGAGAGCTCTTGTCTCATTGCACTCTGCTCTCTTGAGTCTGACATGAGACAGACTATGAGCCGGGGGGCAGAGCCAATGAGGACAGACAGCATCTGGCCAGTGGCTGAGGGCGGGGAGGAAGGGCACCCTTGGCTGGCACAACAGGCAGAGTGCACAGCCTGTCGACTTAAAGTGGGTTTGGGGCCAGGAAGATGGTGTCACGATGACCACTGGAGACTGAGGAGATAGAGAAGGGCTCCTTTATGTGGGGGTGCAGCTCTCACTCTGTACAATGCTGCCAGGGTCCCCAAGGGAGGCCAGGGATGCCCAGGGAGATGGGACAAGAGCCAATGGATGCTCCTAGGGGCAGGTGACCGGGTTTCTTTCTAGCTGCACGTTTGGACTCTTGGGCTTCAGGCTGTCTCCAGGGTCAGCTTCTTACTACAGACCCCATGTTCTCCCACATGGGGCTGAAGAGAGGCAGTTTCAGAAGTGGTGTGATTCTTCCCCTTCCCTCCCCTCTCTACACACCTTCTTCTAGAAGGATCGTTGTGGCGGCTCCCCTAGAGCCACTTCAGAGGACTGTAGTAGCTGGGAAACTGCAGATCAAAGCCAGAGAGTGATGCAGGGCACTGTGCTGAGGCTCGGGAATTAGAAAGCACAGCGTGGGGCAAAGGCTGCTCCAGACTTGTCTGTCTCATCCGAACCTAACAGGTATCTATGGATGCGGGCAGTGCACCAGGGACAGAAATGTTCCATCTTCCTTATTCTCTCTGTGCCTGTTCTGGGAAGTCCGTCTGACAGCTAGCTCTTCATCACTACCCCTGCAGTTCCTGCTCATCCTTTTTGCTCTGCATTCAGCAAAAGTGCAATGAAGCGTGTCACCCAGCTTCCCTCCTTCCCACTCCTGTGAGGTTCCTCTGAGTCCCCAAAGCCTGCTGGGCCAGGGGCTAGGGGATCTGGGGCCCACTCCTTTTATTTATAAGGTAGCTAATTTAATCACAAACTTCTCTTGCCAATCTCCATGGCTACAGGACTGGCTTCTAGCCACTTTGCAGGAAGAGAGAGGTGTCAGGATCGTGTCTTTCCTTAAATGGGGTAGGGTCTGCCTGGGACATCCTCCCCTCAAGGAACAGGGAGCTTTCTTCTTGTCTATACGGCAGTCCAGAGACACATTTGAACCTAGATAGCCTCTTAAAGCAGACCCGATTGACAGAGGGAACCTATGTGTGTGTGCGGGCTGTGGGGAGGGCTCTTGGGGAAGATTTCTGGACTATCTACACGGATTTGTGGGAGAAAGACCCAGAAGTGGAGAGCGCCCTGGGGAAATGGAGGGTGATCTCCCTGGAGTCTTTCCCCCCAGGGCACTTGGGACATCTTAGTTTTCCCATCAAAGTTCTGTGTGGCCAGGATGGATGACTGGCTGTTGGGGGCACAAGCCCCCTAGCTTGACAGGCACCCTGGTCTAGCCTTGCCTTTGAGAATGTTATAGAGAAGGGCAGCGATCTTCCGGGACAGATGGTGGGGGGACTTACCGGAGAAGCTGGAGGCGGCATCAAGTTAGGCACTGCATCTGTCCAGGGTTGGGGGCCCCGTCCCATTCGAGCTGCACCCTTGGTCCCCGCACCTCCCCTGTGAGCCTCACTCCCCACTGCCCGCCAGCCCGCTGCCGCTGCCGCGGTCTCTGATGCTGCTGCCGCTGCCTCTGCTGCTGCTGCAGCCACTGCTGCCAAGACCGAGGTAGAGAAAAGAGCCAGAAAGCATTTCTCCTTTTTTTTTCCTCTCTCTCTCTTTTTAAACCAGGCGAGAATGAGTCTGCAGCAACCCTGTTGGTGCAAAATAAATAAATAAAGCAGCCAGGGAGGGCTGCAGCAGGCGCCACTACTGAGTGGCTAGTGATAGAGAGAGCTCAGAGGGAAGCTCTGATCCGGGAGGGGTCCAGCAGGGGAGGCAGAGGGGCTGCTGGAATAGGTCTCTCTGGTATCCTGATTCTTCTTTGGGGAGCTTTGGGGCCAAGCAGCTGCCTTCCAGTGCCCCAGATGGGGGGCAATTCTGTGCAATTGCTCAATCTAAATTCCCCCTTGGGTATGATTTGTGGGGAAAGTTCTCAGTCCAGAACATCTGGTGTGGACCTGAGTTTGAGACTCCTTTAGGTGGGGGTTTCTGAGCAGAACTGAGCAGAATGGAGTAGAACGGAGTGGGGCTAGCAGCCTTACTATGCCCATGGGCTGCTGGGCTGGAAACCTGAGTCTCCACCCAGGAATAAGACAGGAGAACAGCCTGTATGTAATCTTATTTAAGACTCCCCCACCCCACCCCCTACTCACCTCTTGTTTTTAAAATTATTTTATAAAGAATGGCACAAGTTGGGGGTTTATGTTTACCAACTAACCCCCACCCCCACCCCATCACCCACTGTTTATCCCTCAGAGGAGGGTTCACAGCTATACATAAAACCAAGAGATGTTCTGGGGCAAGATCCCATTTGGAGAAGCAGGTTGTTGCCCTGCCCCTGGGCTCTTTCTCTGTGCAGGAGTAGAAGACCAAATGGGTTGACGGTGGCAGAGCCGGGGATGGTTTCTGCTTGGGATCCTTAACCAGAGCAGGGCTGCAGGGCAGGGCCGCACCATCCTCGAGGGTCTGTCCTGGACCTTCTGACACACCAGTGTCCAGCCGTCTCTGCTTCCCTTGGGGTTTCTTGTGGTAGAAATCTGCTGGGGCTGGGATAGCGTTTGGACAACCCCAGGTCTAAGATTGGTGGACTGGGGCACCTCAGAAATGTTCCGGGGCCCCTCAGGTTTGGGACTAAGTTCCTGTGAGTTGTGACCTCAAGGAAGAGAGAGACTGTGCCAGGTTAAATGTGTGTCTAGAACTGTAGACTCGTAGGTAGAGCCTGTGAGTGTGTGTTTCACCTGTCCGTGGGCATGTGTCTGATCAGATTTGTGCTAATGAACTCCAGAAGCCTATTTTTAAAGTGCACATAGAAGGTTTGAGTTCTGTCTATGATGCTCTTGGCCTTTGTTGTACCCTCTTATAGCCAAATCTCATTAAAAAAATTAGCCTTGGCCCCTTATCCTATCCCACCCCTACCCTCCATATATCCAGTTTTTTTAGACCCCCGAGAAATAGGCAGGGTGCCCAACCACTTCCACGCTGAGCTGGAGGGAAGGGGAATGGCAGAAAATGCAAAGATCCAGATTCACGTTATATACAGGTCCTTCTGGGCTCCAGTGCCAGTCTCTGAGCTTGATCCATCGTCCACAGCTGAAGCCCACAGGGAAATGCAATGAGGTATTTCAAAGGCCTATTAGCTTCTGAGCCTATAGTTGAGCTTCATTCACCTGGGGTATCCTGGACTCCTTGTTGTTCTGAGGACACCTCTGTCCTCCTAGAGGTCCTTACAGCCCACCCCAGGCCTCCCTGAAGGTGGGCAGGGTCAATGAGACAAAACAAAGCTTGGGCTGGAGATGGTGTCCCTCCACCCCCACCCTCTGGCCTTGGCTCAAGGCCAGGCATGCCTGTGGGCTGAAAATCTGGCTCAGCATTTGCTTCCAAAGAATCTGCGGGGGGCCACCCTCCAGGGGGCACAGGAAAGAATAAGCCTGAGGTGGGAAGGGCTCCAGAGAGGTGAGCCAGAGGGCTGAGGGAAAGGAAAGGAGTCCATCCTCCAGGTCACTCGGACAGCCCCTCGGGAGACTCGATTTCTGTGCTGAAGAGCTCCTTGTAGAGTGGAGGGAAAGCAGCCTGGACCACGATGGGGTGGAGATGCTGGAAGGTTTGCAACTTTTCCACATGCTGGCTACACAGGCTCCGGAGCTTCCCCTTGGGCGGCAGCTGGAGATGGGTTAGTGGGGGAGGGTCAGTGTTTCAGCTCTCTGCCCAGAGCAAAGACATCCTCTCGCCCTTCCCTGGCTAGGATAATTCTCCTGACTTTTGCTTCATGTACTTGGCACCCCTGGATCAGCCAGCTCCCACTGGTAGGGTAGGTATGTGTTCAGGAAACTGAGGTAAGTGAGAGCTAATATGGGACAGGACATACTTTCTGGGAAAACCCCCCAAATCATGTTCCAGGCAGTTGAATGGATCCTGTTACAGACTAACTCACACTGTATGCTTTGTAACAGTGAGATTCTGTGACAATGTTAACACTGCCACATGCCTCTTTGCCTTTGTTGGTGCTGTTCCCCTCACCTAGAATACCTTTCCCAATTCTTCTTTGCTTGCTAAATCTTACCTTCAAATGTCACCCTTCTCTGGGAATATTTCCCTAACTATCCCTCCCGTCACCTTAAGGGTCCTCCCTTTGGACATCCCCCATTTTAGGAAATGACCCAATTTGTCTTCCCTCCCTACATTTAAGCTTCTTAGGTTTTCCCTCTCTGTGTCTCTGTCTCTGTCTCGCCTCTGTACCCATCATAATACTTGGCACATAGCAAGTATTTCCAAACCAGTACCGAATACTGCAGGTAGTAATCTGCTGACTCTCAGCCAGAGGGGGGATGAAAAACATGAGAGCCAGGGGCAGGCAGAACTCACTGAAGAAAGACTAAGAAAACCATTATCTTCAAAGTTCCTGAATAAGTAAGGGAAGCATAAAAACACCTTCACCTGCTACCACCCCCTTCTCCTCAACTTCTCCCCACCCTTTCCTAGGGAAGGGGTGGTCAGGGAAGAGCACACCGCAGGGGGTCTCTTGATAGCTCTTGAATTTGTCCTCCTGTCATTCCTACTAGTTCACTTTCAGTTTGTCTGGACTATTGCAATAGCTTCACTCTTTCATTGACACACTACTTAGCTAGGTACTGTGACGGATTCTGGTGAATAAAACAAAATCTTTACCTTTATTAAATTTACGTTCTAGAGAAGGAGCCAGAAAATAAACACATATACTATATCAGATAGTTTCTTTAAAGAAAACTCAAGCAGCGTGAGGAGTAAAGGGTTCTTTGTATGGGGTGGTCAGGGAATACCTCTCCAGAAAGAAGGAATGGAGTGAGCCATTTGGAATGGAAAATTGGGGGGAAAACCTTCCATGCAACTGGAACAGAAGGTACAAGAGCCTTGAGAAGCAACTGAGCTGCATGTGTTAAAGGAATAACAAGAAGGTCAGAGTTGCTGCAAGGGGTGGCAGAGGGAGTGGCAGAAGGGGAAGAGGGGAGAGAGACGTCAGGGCTATACCATGAGACTGGGCAGTGTGAAGCACACTCTAGATTTCATTCTCAGCTTGACGGACAGCCCAGAGGACTGAGTTGCTCTGCTGGAGAAGAGAGGAGGGTGGAGGAGGGGTCTAGTTAGGGGCCTCTGCTGTAGTTCGAATGAAAGCTAATAGCTGGAGTGGGGCTGATATATTCTGAAGGTGCAGGCAACCAGAGTGGCCGGCCAGCTGCTCTCCCACTCCCAGTCCCTTTTCCTTCTAATGGTTCCTACCAGATCTGAAGCTTTTTAGGGGAGAGACTGTTGTATAAGTCACTTCTGTACCTTTAGCTCTAGCATTGTGCCTGGCCCATTGCAAGGAAGCATTGCTTGAATGATTACATAAATAGTTCCTGTACGCAGGCTCCAAATTAAATTGCCTAAGTAATAGCCCTGATGATATCATTCCTTTGGGGCCCCCCATTGCCTAGAAATAAAGCTTTAACTCTTTACAATGGCATTGAAAGTCCTCTCTGATTTGCTACCTGACCTAATTTTCAAGCCTGTCTCCTGTTACTCCCCTGCCCCATCAGTCTATCCCTGCTCCTGATCTTACACCTCGGTCAAAATACATGACGAGCTAATCTCCACATATGCACTATTTTGCCTCCTTATTTTTGCCCACGTCGTTCCCTAAGTCTGGAGTGCTTGTCGCACCCCCAGAAATGCCTGTTAAAATCTGACATCTTCCATGGCCTAGTTTAAATGCCACCTTCCTTAGGGAGCATTTATGACCCACTCCTTTTACCTCTGAATTCTTCTTTAATCCCTAGCCTATGCTCTCATAACACTTCCCCGAGTATCATTTATTATGCTTATATATGTTAAGATATATATTTCATGTCATATAGTTATATATTTACATATGTTTTATGTAAATATATAATAGCTACATAGCTAATATAGCTTATATAAAATATACTGATATTGAGATTTTAGTACCTATTAATATAATAAAATGCACCTATTATTAAATATCGGGGCATAGGGATACAGTGAAAAGAACACTGGGATTAAATCTCAATTTTATCATTTATAAATCATATAAACTGGAATAAGTCATTTAAGTCTCCTTATCACTGCAGAGCAGTTTTAAGATCAGGCCTCTTGACTAAGTTGCCCTGAAGATGAGGGAGCATCTTTGCAAAAGCACTTCATTAATTGCATTAGTATTATATCACATTCTACTCTGTATTACAATTATTAGTACACAAAGCTCTTCTTCCTACCAGATGCAAAACTCTTGAGGGGGACAAGGACTGCATGCCTGTATCTTTCCATCCACAGTGCCTGCAAGCAGGTGCTGGGGAAATGCTGGCTCTGTTAACCTGAATTGTTCTCTGGAGATCCCTCCTAATTTCAGGCTCTCTCACTTTCCATCTTTATGCACACAGAAGTGACTGGTCATTCCCTCCCTTCCCACTGCTGTTGCAAGCTCACTAATACCACGTGGTCCTCAGCTTTACCTCCTGGTACCCTCAGACCGTGCCCTCACCAGCCCTGATGTTGCAGATCTGGCTTTGGGCCTGCCCTCTTCTACCCCCGGGACTGCTCCTACCTTTGCCAGGATGCCTTGGCGATGAGTCTTGCAGAGATGATGATGAAAAGCCAGCTCCAGATTGTGCTGCAGTTGTTCTACTTTGCTTTTCTCCTGAAGCCCTGGCCGGTCTGAAGAAGGAGATGGGATGATAGTGAGAACTAGAAAGAACATTGATGTTAACTTCCAACATCTGTGCTGGATGGAGACCTCCTCAACTGAGTGTGTGTGTGTGTGTGTGTGTGTGTGTGATGGTTTAGCTGTACACATAGAAAACTGGGGAATGATGACAGAGCTCTCCTAACACTCTCCCAACTCCAAGCTGTCTTCTCCCTGATAGCCTGATATCTCACATAACCCACTCAATGCTAGGACTAAGATTCTGCTATGGAAAAAAAAGAGATTGGAAGAGTGGCATCTGACCCCTGGGCCCAGGTAGGAAGTGGGCTCCATGAAGCCATGTCAGCAGCGTCAGGGCCTCTGCAGCAGTCTGAGCTAAATTCAACATGCAAACCACCTTCTAGCCTGGCTGTATGACATAGCTGGAAGTCATCCTCAAAGCCTTGTTTCCAGTCAAGGAACATGTTCAAGTCTCTACTCACAGAGCCAGAAGACTGATAATTTTGACCTGCAGACTCAAGATTAGCAGCCCGGCCCACATGCCTGAATTTTCTGGATACATAGCATTCAGCTAACTGAGCCCAGCCCCTCTGTTCTGTGGGCTGGATATCTGAGTCCTGCCATGATGGGCGAACAGTGTGAAATCAGTTCACATAGAACAGGAATTCTCCATTGTGGTGGATCTTACAGTCACAGGCTGGGAGGAGGCTGTTACGAATTCCAGTGCCAAGGAGGTACCAGGTGTCTGGGGTGGGACCCAGGTGGCAGCTGTCAGTAAACCTGCTGGGGGTTCCACACAATGGAGTCTTCGATGTGGGCTCGTGTACAGGCTGATGTGTCTCAGGGACGTGGTTTGCTCCACTCAACCTCATGTCTCCCTATTTCTCCAACCACCCCCAACCCATGCTGCTCTTTCCCCTTTGAGCTCCTCTGAACCTTCAGTTTAACTCATTTTATTTTACAGCCATCTTGGGTGGGGCTCATTCTGCTCTTTAAAGCTACTTCCAGATTTATCCACATCAGAAGATCCAGACTCTTCGGTATCTGTTGCATCCCTGCCACCTGAATGTCCTTTCCCTAAGCCCAGCGACACTCACTGGCATTGATGAGCACCAGGGCCGTGTAGAGGGCAAGCTCGTCCTCGGAGAAGCGCAAGGCACTCAGCGAGCGGGAGAAGTCAAAGATGGAGCTGATGAGCTCGCTGCAGCCTGATGAGTGGAAATGAAAGACTGAGCAAAGTGGGGGAGGCCCTGCTGCCCGAGGACACCCGCCCGCTGGTGTTTGGAGCTGAGGAGCTCTGAAAAGAGCTGAAAAGAGGGTATCCCAGGTCTAGAAGCATTGGAAGGGGTTGGCAATCGACTCCTCTTTCTCATTTACCCCTGCCCCTCACCCAAGGCTCGAAACAGCTCCATGCCACCGTATTTGCCTTCAAAAAAGACTGTATGGTTGTCAGCATTGTAGGCCCTGCTCATCCTAACCAGCACCACTTCCATTGCTCCTGGGGGTGGGGAGAAAGGATGCGGGCACAGTGTCAGGCAAAGCCAAGACTCTGTCTCTATCCCCCTCAGTGTCCTGATTTCCTTAAGCCACCTCCCTCCTCTGGGGCCAGCCAGGTCCACACTCTGTCCCCTCCCTGCCCGGCCCCCACTCCTCCCCGGGCACCTGCTTTGAGTAGCACGATCTGGTCATTCTGGCAGAGCTCCATGAAGCCTGAGAGTCTTTTGGCGAACTCCACCACGTACTGAATGGCCTCGGTGAGGCGGTGGGCACAGCGCTCCCACATCTCCCACACAGTCTGCAGGAAGGGAACAGGCCACCAGGGTAGCCCACTTCATAAACCCGAGCCCCTGGGTGCCCAGACTGAACTGCAGGGAGTAAGTTCTGAACACCCACATACTCAGCACATACACGCACTCAGGGTCACGTGGGCCCCCAGTGAGCTGTTGTGAGGAGATAAAAAATGTGTGATACTTTTTGAGTTGCCCACAAAAAGTCTGCATCTTGTTGAAGTAAAGGGACATACAAATTCCCTGTTCTCCAAGGTCTCAGTGACCCAGGGAAGCACAGGTTCAGTGCCTAACAAGTGCTGTTCAGCAGGTGGAGGTGTCCGAGTGGGGATGGAAGAGAGAGCAAGAGCTGGGGGATGGGGGGGTGAGGTGGGGGGACTGAGGGTTCTGAATGACCCGGAGTGTCTGTTAACCTCTCTGAGCTCAGTTTCCCAGTGCAATAAAAATAGAAATAATGCCAGTTCATAGGTTGGTTGTCATGAAGGTGGAGGATAATTTATGTAAAGTATTCAGCACAATGCCCGGTGAGAAGGGTTTTTGAGCAAGTGGTAATCGGGCTTCTATTGTATGTTGATAGAGGAAGAGGACAGAATACAAGCAAGGTCTGAGGCGGGAAGAAGGCCAGCCAAAATGTCAACAGGCAGGGGCTGAGGAAAAGCTTTCCTCCATCCCTGGGGTGTAGACACCACCCGCCACTCATACTTCTGTGGGTATACATGTGTGTCTATCTGTGACACCCTGCCCTGCCCCAGTCCACCTGCATGTGCGTCCCTGGGGCCTCTTGTCCTCCCTCCCCGGCGCCATCTCCTGGCCTCACCTTCCTCTGGTAGCTGGCCACCTCCTCCCGGGAGAAGATGATGGAGCGCTGCCGAAGCAGGTCCTCCAGCCGCAGCTGACATGTCTCTCGGTAGGACTTACACACGTTCTGTACCAGGTGGTCTGGGGCCAAAGGAAGGCACAGCTCCATCTCATCCAGCTCCTACCCTCCCCACCCAGGGACCACTCCTCTGCCTGGCCTCCCCTGCACAACCTCCCCACAACGTTTCCTGCCCAGGACCCCTCAGGTCCCCTGGATGTTTGGTTTACAAGGGGTGCTGGCTGAGGCCCCTCTCTCAGGAGCCCCTCTCTCACCTTCCCATCCCCTCAACCTCTCCAGCTGCTCACCTATCTCTGTCAGGGATGAATAAGGTGCCTCTGGGGCGCTGCGGAAACTGGGGCTGCAGTAGCTGTTCAGGCCCTGTCCTGGCTCCCCAAGCCCTTGATGCCTGGGGTCCTCAAAGTGAAGTCCACATCTGTTGCCTGTGTTATAGAAGCTCTCTCTGCCCTCGGCCTTGCCCCGCTCAGGGCTGTATTCCAGGTGGTAGGAGGGCCTGTTGAGCCCAGCCTTGACCAAGCTGTTGGAGTAGGAGGGCCCAGGGCCAGGGGCTCTCAGGAGGCCAGGGGGACAGGCAGAGGCCTCGGGCAGGTCAGGTGAGGAGCCCAGGGGTAGCTGCCCATCTGGGATCCCCAAGGTGCAGGAGATGGGGTCTGTCCCTTGGCCCCCTGCGGGAGGGGTCTTGGCCACTTGTTCCTGTTGCTGCTGCTGCTGCTGCTGCTGCTGCTGCAGTTGTTTCTGCACTTCGGCATGCAGACTGTCCCTTTGCTTCTTGGACATGCGGCCAAACTTGACAGCTGAAAAAGGTCCAGGGGTCAGGAGTTTTGATGCAGGATGACATGGAACAGGGCAGGGTCAACATCAGGCTTTTTGATCATTATGAGATTACCTTGGTGCTTCCCTGAATAACTGACTCCAGGCAGAGCCTCTTTAGTCTTGCCTTTCAGGGACTTTTGTTCCAGCTTCCCCCCCACAACCCCGCCCCCACACCTCTCATTGTCCTGCAGGGCTCTCTCGAGCCCAGTTATTTCAGTCTCCTGAGCAAGCTCTCTTAGCTCCAAACCTACCTCTAATAGTGGCAGAATTTAAGCAATGAGCCGGCTGAGGATTGTGGCCTGCTGATATTGGGGCTGGGGGTGGGCGAGTGGGGGGGCTCAAGTGGTATTGGGGTCACCTCGCCTGTCTAGGAGGGTCAGAGGAAGAGGGGAGCTGAACACACAGGTCTCCCTGTGGTCAGGCCTGCAGGCTCCCTGGTGACCTAGATACTCACCACAGCCCAACCCAGGCTCCGCGGCTTGTTTCTGAACATCCTCTTCTGCTCTCTCTTTCCTGCCTTTTCACTCCCCCCCGCCACCCCTCCCAGGTGTGGGGGCACAGCCCCTCACCCCGCCTGCCCCTCTGCACCCCTCTGTGTTTCCTTTCACTTTGTTATTTTGGGCACTGAAAAGTGCTGACAGGCTCCTTCAGGCTCCCCATCACCTTGTGCCTCCCCCAGGCTGGCCTGGGCTCCCTCTGAGGGGGTGGGGAGAGGGGGATGGGGCTGGCAGGAGGTGGTGGGTGAGGAAGGTGGAAAGGCACTAGGAGCAGCAGCCCTCCTCACCCTGATGCCTTCTACTTATTCTCAGGCTGACTCTGGTTCCACTCCTTACCACAGTTCCATGCCCAGGATGGAAGTGGGGGACAATGAAGGGAGCTGAGCTAAAGTTGGAGCAAAGGGTGGCAGGGGGAACCCAGAGAGAAACTTGATGGTTCTGGGCCAGAGTAGAACAGAGTAAGGAGAACCCATCCTGGGGAAGAAGCAAATGGACAGTCTGGGACCTTGGGAAAAGTAGAATTGTTCTAGCAGAGCCCCAAGTTCGGAACCGTGCAGAGCTCTGATGGGGCAGCTTGCTCCCTCATCCCCAGGTGGACAGTAGAAGACGCAGGGCTGTCAGAGTGGGAAATGGAGATCATTCCAGAAGGGTTCTTTCACTGGCTAATTGTGTGTCTAGCACAACAAGCCAGGTTGTCCTTCTGGCGGCTCCAGGGAACCCCCAGGGTTGCATGCATGGCCTCACCATCTCGGGACATGCCCAGTGCCAGGCACTTCTGCAAGCGACAGTGCTGGCATCGGTTTCGGCTTGTGCGGTCGATGGGGCAATTCTGCTGGCGGGTGCAGGAGTAGGCCACGTTACAGTGCTGGCTCCGACGGAAAAAACCCTGGGGAGGAGTAGAAACCAAGCCTGTCCATCCTGGCGAGGCCCAGTCCTGAGCGCCTCCCATCCACCCGCTCCGGCTTTTCCAGATCCCACCACCTGTCTGTTCCTTCCCTTCATTTCTTAGTACAGTGGTAGTTATTTCCACAATTGCTCCCCCAGTTTAAGACAAGGGCCTGTTTGTAGCCAGGCCTCCAGGTTGGGCACCACCCAGGCTGCTACTCAGCTGCTTCAGGACAGGGAGCCCCTCTTCGTCTCTGTAGGGAATGCGTGTATGTGTGCACTCACCTTACAGCCCTCGCAGGTGATAACCCCGTAGTGGATTCCAGAGGACTTGTCCCCACAGATTTTGCAAGGGATCACTTCAATTTGTGCTAGAGGGGAGAGAGAGCAGGAGGTGGGTAGAAACTTTCCGCATGCCACCCCATGCTCCTGGGTGTCAGATACCTCCCGGCTCCCCTGCCCACTTTGCTGCTTCCCTCTTGCAAAATGGATTAAGTGTAGTGCCCAATGCTGCTCAGCCGTGGCTCTATGGAGGCTGTTTTTTTTTTTTTTTTCTTCTCTCACTCTCATTTTCTTTTAGCTTTGCGGGGTGGCCAGGAGTGGTATCTGCTCTACGGGGGTAGAGAAAGCAGCTGCAGAGAGCCACCTGCTCAGCCCTTCAAGTGGAAAAGCTCCAGTTGCTTCCCTCCCGCTCGGGGACCTGGGAGTCCTCTCTGCTTTGCAGCACCTGCTTCCCGCCCAGGAGGCTTCCTTTGTGCCTCCCTCCCCCACGGTGCGGTGCTTGGGCAGATATGGGGTGTGGTGGGAAGGTGTGGGACACCAGGCAGCAGGCGAGGGGTGGCGGGTGGGTGGAGATGTGGGCCCTCCTCAGTCGTGCAGTAAAGACTCAGGGAGGGAGATAGGGGAGACAGGCCTCAGGGACCGGGGGCCCCAGAGAGGGCAGGGAGAAGCCAGAGATGGGGCCCAGAACACTGGGGCTCAACAAGTGAGCTCTCCTGGGCACCTAGGAGGAGGGGAGAGAATCAAACAGGCTCCCTCGGCCCCAGAGCAGAGGCCGCTCTCCATATCTCAGCGGGCGAGAGCGTGTCTGTGTACAAGGGCATCACGCCCAGTGACATGAGTGCGCATCATGGCGGATAACACCGGCTAGGACTACAGACCACCGGCAAGGACTAGAGACCATCTCATTTGGCCTCTTTCCTTCTTTCAGGCAAAGGGCTAGGTCAGAGGAGGCCAGGCGGTTTGCCCAGGTTCGCACAGCACCTTTGCCCCAGCCTGGGTCTAAATCCCAGTTCCCCTGAGCTTCCATGTGCTGTTCATGCACGTGATTGTGGGGTGCACACATCCGTGGGCTTGTTTGACGGTATGCATGTGTGCGTGCAAGGACACATAGAAAGTAAGTGTGATTTCTGAGCCATCCCTGCTTGGCCCAGTGTGTGCCAGTATGTATTTTTATGTCAGTGCCATGTGCTGGGCGCCAGGTCCCCGCCCCCAACCCCTGAGCTCATTGTCACCTGTGCTGCCACCTTCAGTGTGGTTTGCTGCTGGCTCCAGCTTCACCTCCTTGATTTTGCCCCTGTCCATGTCCACAGCCCATTACTGAGTTTCAAGGACCAGCAGGAGGCTCACCTTGGAAGCGGTGCTGAGCAGAGTGGGCCTCTGCTACCTTAGGTACTTTCACTGCTTCCAACAACATCTGGGTCTCTTTCCTGCCTCTCCTCTGATGGGGGAGGCCTAGACTGTTGTAGGCCAGAAAAAATGATCTAGGCCTGTATTATCTCTTGACACATCTTCCACCCATCTCTTGCCATGGGGAGTGAGTCCATATTCTTGTGAATTCCCCTCTGGGCATAGGCCTGGGCCCTAAGCACTTGTGATGTGAGGTGGGGAGGGTGGCTGTGGCAGGCCCACTGATCCCCCAAATACTATTTCCACCATCCTTGAAGCATCACCTCCTCAGGCTGGCCTTGAGCTGACTCAAGGCAAGCAGCTGTCTCCTTGTGGGGGACAGGGCCACAGGCCTGTCCAATCCTTCCATTAGAACTTGATTGATTCTCCACCCCACCCTCCTCACTGCCCCAGTCCCACCTGCCTGCCCCACACCTGCACAGTAAGCTGTGGTCATCCACCACAGAAGGCAAGTGAGCTTTTCAAATTCTCTCCAGAACATTGGAAAGCATGGAATGAAAGAGAGAATAAGACAGGGCTGGGTATCTGGAAAGGGGGCAGAAAATGTGGAGTCACTTAGAGTCTCTAGGCCTCAGTTCCCTTGTCAGTAAAATCAGGACAGAAATCACCTTGCCTGTCCATGGGGTGATTGTAGGCCATGCTGTCTTAGATGTTGTCATGCAAAAGGGGAGCCACTGCATATGCAAGCCAAAGGCTATGAGACCAGTGGGCACTTGGAGATTTGGAGAGAAATGCTCGCACCCTGGAGAGAAGTGCTCATACCCCGCAGAGTCTGCCCCATCCCCCTTCTACATTGTGGCCTCTCTCTCCTCAGTGACCCAAAGCCCAGAGAGGAGAGAAACCAACATGGGTCACCCAAAAAGTTAAGGGGGAGGGAGATTAGGCCAAGCCACAGTGGGAACTCGGGCTCCAGCCCAGCAGTTAACCACAGGCCTCCTGGCCTCTTCCCTTCTCCAAGAGCCACATCCGTGTGCGTGTGTGTGCTGACCACATGAGTGACCCAGCCACAGCTCCCTGCCCCACGCCTGACCCAGAGCCGGACACGGCCTCCGAGCCTCACAACATTGTCACCAAGGCCTTGCCCTCCTCACTGAAGGACCCCCTCCACAAATACCCATGTTTGGGGGGTGTAGGGGCTTGGACCCCAGCTGCTATGTCAGTCACTTCCTCATGCTCCCCAATCATGGTCCAAGACAGAGGTACACACTGAGGCAGACTGCTTCCGAGCTGGAGCCTTTGGCCTCTGAGAGACCTCTCTCTCTAGAGAGACCAAGAGGTTCAAGGCCAGGAGACATAGAGGGCCAGTTACAGAAACACAGGAACCCCCACATGTTTGTCATGGCCCCAGGCCAGTCCCTAGCTCTGTCCACCGACAGACTCTCCTGTCTTACTCTCTTCCCCTTCCCTGCCCCTGTGCCCACTTCAGCGCCAACTACCCAAAACCTCAAAAAAAAAGTACCGATGCAATGTGCAGGAGTGTGGCTTGTGGAGGAGGGGAGGAGAGAGGACTGGAAGGGGACTGGTCGAAGTGGAGGCAGGGTGAGCAGGCTTTGAAAACACCACGGATACATCACCTTCAAAGCTACCTCTCTGAGAGCCAAAGTCCTGAAGCAGCAGGTGGTGGGAACCCAGATTGGGGAGGGGGAGCTGAGTAATCACAGGATTACTCAAATTGTTGCCTGGGAACCTGGCCTGCCAGGAACTTACCATCTAACTGCCTGCTGGTGCCAGGAACTAGAACCAAGCAAAGGTCAGGAACCTGAGGCCAGCCCCCTGCCTGGGCTCCCACAGCAGCCCAAGCCTGCTGGTGCTCCCAGCAACCACTTGGGAGAGCTGTTTGTAATGGCTGCAGCGCCTGCTCTTGCTGTAGCTCTCTCCTGAGGCCCAGCAAAGGAAACCCTCTAATCCCACACACTTCCAAAGGAGAAGGAAATGCCTAGTGTCCATATTAGCTCCCGAAATTGACTAGTGACTGCACGGTGCCAGTAGTCCTTTGCTTCTCAAGCAAGATCACCTAGGAGTCTCGTTAAAATCAGGTCCCTCTGCAGAACCTCCGTGGCAGCCAAGCTCATGGTCCTCAGCCTACATTTTTGAATAGCAAGAATTTAGTCCCTCTTCCTGCTTTTGTGCCAGACTACTTCTCAAGGGTGGGCTCTTCCCCAGCTCATTCTTGTGAGTCTTCCCCAACACAAAATGTGACCTGTAAAACTCCATTCTGATGCCGTGCTAGGAAAAAGAAAGTGCCATCTTCTGGATCCCTTCAGAGATTGAGGGTTGCCCAGGGAACTTCCTAGAAGGGCCTCCTAGGTGGCGAAATACTGTAGCCCTAAAGGAGTCTGTGCCCTCCCCCCACCGCCCCCATCTTACCCTCCTCACAGCTGTGAGATTCATTGATAGCAGTTCTTTGAGTGCCTCCTGAGCCTGGCCCTGTGCCACCTTAGGAAGCCAGCCCTGGGCCCTGTCCAGGTGCCCTATGCCACAGAGAGGAAGTGGTAGAGCAACCCGGGGGGGTCTCTCCCGCATACCCCAGAACCAACCCCAGCCCTGTTGGAGGTAGATTCAATCTTGGGGTTCTTGCCTCCACCTGGTGTCCTGTCAGCCTGGAGCTGGGCCTTGTCTGCGCCTCTTCTCTGTTCTTTTCTCCAGTGGATATTGATTAAGGGGGTATAATAAGGATAGACACAATTGTTGAATTCTTATTGTGTGCCAGACTTTAAGTACATTTCTCATTGGATGATCACAACAAGATGTGGAGTAGGTACTGCTTGTGTTGTCCCCATTTTATAGGTAAGATGACTGAGCCCAGAGTAAGGGGCTTGACTAAAGTTACACAGCCATCGGGACCCAGGCCTCTGTGACTTGAGAGCCAGTGTCCTCGACTATTAAACTATATATCCTGTGAGCATGAGCCGTTCAATTCATCATGCCAAGGAGACTGGGACGATTGCAGGGGAAGCATGTGAAGTGAGGGGGTCTCTCCCTGAATACCCCAGAACCAGACCCAGCCCTGTTGGAGGTGGATTCAGCCTTGGGGCCATCGCCTCCTCCTGGTGTCCTAGAGCTGGGCCCTGTCTGCTCTTCTTTCTCTGTCCTTTTCTCCCGTGGATATTGATTAAGGGCGTATAATAAGGATAGACACAAGGGCTCGGAAGGGAGTTCAAGGAGGAAGCCTATGGAACTAAAGCCAGGACTCATGTCTAGTAAACAGGTCAGAGAGACATTACTCCCCCCACCCCACCCCAACCCTTCTTCTGTGGCCCCAGACATCTCCTGCCTTCACCCATTTCTGGGGAGCAGGTTTCTAAGGTCAAAGTGGAAGGGCTTGCCCATGCCAACAGAGTGCCTGACTTGGGGGTCCTCTGGAAGGGCACAGCCCCTGGGTTGGGGAGTGCCGGCTTTCACACAGCTCAGTAGGCCTCGCTGCAGGAATGAGTGAGTGAGGGGAAGAAGAACGCAGTCCTTTTCTTAGCTTAGGCCCCTCTCCCCACAGCCCACACTCTCAGCCCTTTTCCACAAAGAAACCACAGCTCCAGCCAGGTCCCCAGTGTACCCCAGCCTGTCACCAGCCTCCCTCCTTTTTCAGCTCCGTGTTCCCGCAGCTTCTGCAAACCTAGAAACCACGGTGGTGGGTGCCGCCACAGGGGAGCCGGAGGGGGAGGCTAGTTGGGGTCCAGAGAGAAGC